ACCAGCCTGGCCAACATGGTGAATCCCCGTCTCTACTAAAAATACAAAATTAGCCGGGCGTGATGGTGGGCACCTGTAATCCCAGCTACTCAGGAGGTTAAGGCAGGAAAATTGTCTGAACCTGGGAGACGGAGGTTGCAGTGAGCTGAGACCGCGCCACTGCACTCCAGCCTGGGCAACGGAGCTGACACTGTCTGTAAAAACAAAAACATTTTCAAAGGTCAAAACAGTCGCTTGATGGTGCAGGAAGCAGCAGACGCCCTGACCAAGGGGTCAAGGTTATTGCCATCGGCATGAGAGAGGTCTGCACCCTGCGCTTTGATGTGGGGGCCCAAGACAGACACATGCCAGCCTGGGGCTCCCTCCATGGAGCTCTGAGGCAACCCGGGACCATCCCCATGGAGGGAGGGACCCTATGCAGAGCACCACCTGCTCTCAACGGCCCCACAAGCTGAGGGAGGGCGGAGGGACTGTGCCCACCGGAGGAGACCCCGGCAGGAGAAGATGGGCCACAGGTGCAGCCAGGACCCGGCAAAGGGTGGCTGCAGAAACCCAGGAGGCCGAGGCAGAAGGGACCGTTTGAAACCAACGTTCACGCCGTGGCTTCGGTCACAGACTTGCTGTTGTGCAAGAGGACCGCATTTAGGGAAGGTGCGGAGGGAGGCCGGGGAATCGAGCCTGCGGGGTGGGAGGCTGGGGAGGGAGTTGGGGCGGGTGGGGGGAGTCGGGACCCTGTGGTCTTCTTAAGTGTGAAATTCTTTCCAAATGAAACGTTAAAAAGCTTTCTTCTGGAGGCCGGGCGCGGCGGCTCACGCCTGTAATTCCAGCACTTTGCTGGGCAGATCACAAGGTCAGGGGTTTGACAGCAGCCTGACTAACATGATGAAATCCCGTCTGCACTAAAAATACAAAAAATTAGCTGGGTATGGTAGCAGGCACCTGTAATCCCGGCTACTCGGGAGACTGAGGCAGGAGAATCACTTGAACCTGGGAGATGGAGGTGGCAGTGAGCCGAGATCACGCCATTGCACTCCAGCCTGGGCGACAGAGCCAGACTCCGTCTCAAAAAACAACCAAAAAAAATGCTTTCTTTTGGTCCCCAAGTTCATTCAGTGCTTCTCTTTATTTTACTGTAGGTTTAAACTGCTTAGTTATAAATAAATACTTTAATCCTCAGTCCTGGGCTGCAGACATCAGGGCCAGATCCTTCTCTGGGGTGGGGCTGTCTGGGGCACTGCAGGGCGGTGTGTCTGACCTACACCCACTCCATGCCAGGAGCTCCCTACAAACCGTGACAACCACAGATGTCCCCAGACCTCCCCCAGGGTCCCCTGGGGGCAGAATCACCCCAGGGTTAGGGGATTCCAGGACCCCGTGGAGACTCTGCGTCCCATGATTCTCTGCCCTGCTGAACTCTCAGGAGGCTGCACACTGAAATCCACACCCTGAGTGGGAAGGGAGAAAGGAGGCGAATCCCAGGAGCTGGGGGTCCCCCTGATTTATGCCATACGCCCCACTAAGAGTTTATTCTGGTGTCCTGTGTGAGCAGTGGGCAGACCCCTTTTTTAAAAATTATTTATTTATTTATTTATTTATTGAGACCGACTCTTGCTCTGTCACCCAGGCTGGAGTGCAGTGGCGCGATCTCGGCTCACTGCAGCCTCTGCCTCCCAGGTTCAAGCAATTCTCCTGACCCAGCCTCCTGAGTGGCTGGGACTACAGGCACCTACAACCATGCAGCTAATTTTTAAATTTTTAGTAGAGACGGGGTTTCACCATTTTGTCCAGGCTGGTCTCAATCTCCTGACCTCAGGTGATCCACCTGCCTCAGCCTCCATAGGGCTGGGATTACAGGCGTGAGCCACCAAGTCTGGGCGTTTTTTCTCCCAAGTAATGAACACAGGGTGTCTCCCCTGGGCAATGTGGACCTCAGGGTTGGGTCCTTCTCTGGGGCAGCCCATACTGGGCACCATCGCTATCCTGCACCCACTCTATCCCAGGAGCTCCCCCATCGTGACAGCCACAAATGTCCCCGGACCTCGCCCTGGTTGCAGAATCAGCCGTTGATTGAGAACCCTGGCCTTAAAGGGAGAACAAATGAACCTCCAGATAAAAGCTAGCAGAAGGATGTTCACTGAGGCCTCAGGAGAGACACTGAGGGCCCTCGTGGGTCTGGGTCTGGCCTTCCCCAGCTCCGAGTTCTGTCCCTGCTACGTGTATGTATCGGTTTCCAGCTCACCTGCCCTTGGGACACACCTGCCACAGCCCGCTTTGCTGGGGCCACAGGGACCTCATCAGTGAGGTGTCTCTTTGCGGTTGGCATGTGGGCGTGTGTTTCTCTGAGGGCTGTGGCCATGCTGCCCACCTGGCCAGGGACCCCCGACTTGAGTCATTGGGAGCCAGCGTCCCTACCCCCACAAAGGTCGGGACCTTGAGCTCAAAGCCCCCTGCCTCCTCCCTGGCATCTGTGCTGACTCCCAGGCTCCCTGTGGCTCCGAAGACAAAAGAAGGAAGTGGGGACCCAGCCCAGGCATTGGGCAACCCAACGGCCTCTGGCATTGTGCTATAAGAGGAGCCCGGCCATGGGTGGGCCCTGGACCCCACCATGGCCCTCAGCCACCGGCCCTTCAGCCCTGCCCTGGCGTCCGTGCTGCTGGCCTTGCTGCTGGGCGGTGAGTGGGCCAGGTGCCCGTCTGTCCAGTCTCCAGGGACGGGTGGATTCTGGGGAAATGTCCACCACGAGATCCATCCAAAGCCCTCCTGGCAGAGCAGGAGAGGCTCTGCTCACTGCTCAGGCCCAGCGTTTCCAGGGGTGGGGAGGATGGGGGCCAGGGGGTGGTGGCTCACGTCTGTAATCCCAGCCCTGGCCGTTTGACTGAGTTTCCCATCTGTAAAATGGGCCAAACCCAGTCCTTTCCGCCTGGGGAGCTGTTTTGGGAATTACCTACAACAGGCGAATTCCTGGACGGTGGCTGGCCTTCGGCCAACGTTCAGTGAATATGAATGAATGAATGAATGAATGAATGAGTGAGTAAAAGGGTCAAGGGGTTATTGATGCTGGAATCAGGGGAAGAAGAGAGCATGGGCCCCCTCAGGTCCCTATCCTGAGGGTAATTTTCTTTTCTTTTTTTTCTTTTTTTTTTTTTGAGACGGAGTTTCGCTCTTGTTACCCAGGCTGGAGTGCAATGGCGCGATCTC